TTTTTTTTTTTGGAGCAGGCAGAACTTGAAGAGAGGTCTTTGGTGTTCTGCATTTTTACCAACAACGCATTTAGGCCTAGATTTATTGTAGCTGACCCACTCAGGATTTACAATGCTGAGGATTAATGTAATTCTGGAAAATTCTTAGTCACTATCTCTCGAATATTGTCTCTTCCTCACTTTTCATATTCTCTGTTTCTGGAACTTTGATTAAACATGTAGACCTTTTCATTTAGTTCTCCATGTCTGTAACTCTTCCATATTTTTTAATTCACACCAAATCTATTGGAGTTTGCTAATTCTTTCTTAAGCAGTGACTAGTCTATGTTTTAATCCACACATTATGTTTTCAATTTCATTTCATTTTTTTGTTTTTGAGACAGAGTCTCACTCTGTCGCCCAGGCTGGAATGCAGTGGTGCGATCTTGGCTCACTGCAACCTCCGCCTCCTGGGTTCAAGCGATTCTCATGCCTTAGCCTCCCAGGTAGCTGGGATTACAGGCATGTACCACCATGCCTGGCTAATTTTTTTTCATATTTTTAGTAGAGATTGGGTTTCACCATGTTGCTCTCGAATTCCAGACCTCAGGTCGTCTGCCCACCTCAGACGCCCAAAGTGCTAGGAATATAGGCATGAGCCACTGAGCATGGCCCAATTTCATTTCTTATTTCTATAAATTCCATTTGGTTCTTTATCATACCAATAGTTTTTCAACATTAAGTAGAACATTAGTCTTTTATTTAAGCAGCTTTGTTGAGGTATAACTGACTTATAATAAACTACATATGTTTCGTGTTTATAATTTGACAAGTTGTGACTATGTATACTAAAACTACCACTACATTCAAAACAATGAATATATTCATCACCCCAAAAGTACTTTGTGCCCTTTTGTAATCCTCACATCTCGCTCTTCCTCACCCTGCCCAATCCACAGGCAACCACTCATCTGTTTCCTGTCATTATAGATTAGTTTGTAGTTTCTAGAGCTTTATATAAATATAAAACTGACCCTCAAACAAAACACAGCTTTGAACTGCACAGGCCCACTTATATAGGAATCTTTTTTCAAGAAAAATTACATCAAGTGTGCCTGTGTCTCCTGCCTCCCCTTCCACTTGCGCTACTCCTGAGACAGCAAGACCAAACTCTTTTTTTCCTCCTCCCTCCTCAGCCTAGCCAACATAAACACAACAAGCATAAAGACCTTTGGCCAGGCAGGGTGGCTCACACCTGTAATCCCAGCATTGTGGAAGGCCAAACCAGGAGGAATGCTTGAGCCTAGAAGTTTAAGACCAACCTAGGCAACACAGCGAGACCCATCTCTACAAAACTAAAAATAAAAGGTTAGCTGGGTGTGGTGGGGCTCGCCTGTAGTCTCAGCTATTCAGGAGGCTGAGGTGGGAGGATCACTTGTGCCCAGGAGTTCCAAGTTGCACTGAGCTATGATCTTGCCATTGCACTCCAGCCTGGGTGACAGAGCAAGACCCTGTCTCAAAAAAAAAAAAAAGAATTTCTAAATAAAGGGTAGTTATTTCATATAAGATAAACATACATTTATGCACAGATAGAGATAAGTTCTTATTACCAACTAAATGTAAAACTAATGCTGACTGGGGGACTGTTGATAGAGTGTGTGAAATCTTTTGGTCTTTCATTTTTCTTCCTCTATCTTTCTGCTAACTTATTTACTTATTTATTTAGAGACAGAGTCTTGCTCTGTTGCCCAGGCTGGAGTGCAGTGGCATGATCACAGCTCACTGCAGCCTTGAACTCCTGGCCTTAAGCAATCTTTCCACCTCAGCCTCCCAAGTAGCTGGGACCACAGGTGCATGCTACCATACGCGGCTAATTTTTGCATTGGCAGAGACTGGGTTTTGCCACGTTGCCCAGGCTGGTCTGGAACTCCCAGGCTGAAACAATGCTTCTTTCTCGGCCTCCCAAAATGCTGGGATTATAGAAGCGAGCCACCACACTCGGCCCCTTTCTGCCAGCTTGCCAGGATCATCAAAACTACGAAAAGCCTCAATAAATTGTTTCTCCTCCGCAGCTTTCTAGAAATGTTCCTACTAGGCAAACTGTATCAGTTTAAATTTGATTCAGTAAATGTAATTGACTTTTGTGTATAAAATTTAATGATATGCAATAGAAGTGATCCAACTTTTTGTCATCTATTTTAATAAAATCAAGAACATAAAAAATGTATGTTAAAAAATCCAAAAACTGTAATTAAAGAATTCTAGTTTAAGATTGCCAAATTAAATGTCTATATCTATCCCCTAAGTCATTCAGATCATTATTTCCAATAAATCTCTCTCAAATACATGCATATCTTGAAAAATAAATGACAGAGTCACCGAAAAATGAACTAAAAGTGAGCTTAAGAATAAAATGTTACGCTTGTTCAAAGTTCTCATGATGTCTAGTAGTACTCTTGAAGCACTAATTTATTCTACCATAATAACTAACATAGCATACCTGCAATTCATGTTTGAGAATGCAACCTCTTTTTTTTTGAGACAGGGTCTCACTCCGGTTGCCCAAGCTGGAGTTCTGTGGTGCAATCTCGATCACTGCAGCCTCAACCTCCCGGGCTCAGGTGATTCTCCCACCTCAGCCTGCCGAATAGCTGGGACCACAGGTGCACACCACCATGTCTGGCTAATTTTTTGTATTTTTAGTAGAGACAGGGTTTTGCCACATTGCCCAGGCTGGTCTTAAACTCCTGGACTCAAGCAATCCACCAGCCTCAGCCTCCCAAAGTGTAGGGATTACAGGCATGAGCTACCGCACCCGACTGAAAATGTACCCTCTTATTACGTACTTGCATTACCACTGTTGGTGCTTTGCTGAATTTAAGCTTGGTATTTTTTTTTTAGGATTCAGGAAATGATATTCTTAACACAATAAAATACCAAAACTTCGCATACCTGAGTGCTCTTCCCATGGTCTCATAATTCATGTCAGGTTTGTTTTTGTGCTTCCCCCACAACCTGGACACTGCTTTAGAATCCACCAATTTAAAAATGCCTTTCTCTCGCTGGGTCCACTTGATGTATTTAGGACAAGTAGCCTTGTCCTGGAGCAGTGCCAGTAAAAACTCCCAAAGATAAATTGTGTTTCCTGAAACAAAAACAATTTCTTTCTAAATGACCAAAATTTCATGTAAAAGAACATCATAAAAGACAACTAAAAGTCTTAGAAGTGCCATTCATATTTATACAAAAACATTACATAGTTCAGTTAGTATTGGTGACATAATTTAGTTAGTATGGGTGATATAATGGTCATACTTTTCAGCATCTAATAAAGATCTTTTTATTAGTCCCATATAAAATATGTGAACAAAGCAATGTTGTCATAAGATTTGTGATGAAATAGGAGAAAGTACTTTGAGATAATTTTTTTCTGTCTCTTTGTGAACTCTCTCAACAGTTGTTCTCTTTAGATTAGAGCCAGCAGGTCAGCCATAACAGTTTTCTTCAAATTTGGGCAACAGTTATAAAAATGCTTGAATTTCAAGACAACATGTTAAAGGGCCTATGAACTGAAAATCTAACCTGGTTAAATTCTTCCAAGAGTCTCATTATTACATGAAAAGAATAGATTATTTGGACAGGTAAGTGAAAATCACACAAATGAGTTTCTTGGTCTACTTTATTATCAGTTTTCCTTTAAGAATTTGGCAAATGTATCTAATATGCATGTGGCAGCAATAAGATCCATTGCAGTATATCAAGAGAGGTGGTGGTTTCTAGTTGTAACAGGCAGGCGCTATAAAGCAATCTGAGTGTTACTTGACCTATAAGTATTACACGGAAATTACAGTAGTACCCTTTCCATCTTTGTTTTTCTTCTTTACAGATATGTTTGGCGTAGTGGCTGGGGAATCTGGTCGTGGTGGTTTCGTTTTTCTCCCTGAAATAAAAACAGCTCTGCATAAATATTTGCCTGCAAAAGTGACAAAAAAATGGACAATTCAGCTATTTGGTCAAGTGCCAGATGTTTTTATACATGGGTCACATATACTGGTCTCTTAAAATGCTGTTTGCTAAAAGGAAAACAACTTTAATAAAACTTGGACATTAATGCAGGTTAAACCATAAACACACTTATGTAAGAAATGATACCTCTGACACCTCAGTTTATATCTGTAAAAATGAAGTTAATTTAAAATACTGTAGCTTGCCTTTGAAGTACCCATACTGGTAGCACTTTCTTAAACTTTTGGAGAATGCTTTTGACATTGGTAGAACATGGGCTCCAAAAATAAGCCACATAGCTCTGTCTGTCTATTGATTATACCAGCTTTTTAAGGTAGGAGAAGTGGATTTTTAGCTTTTTTCTCTATTAAATAATTTCTGTATACAGTTAGTTCTCAAGTATAAGAAACTTCCCAAACTCTAGAAATACAGAAAATATGTGAGGCAAAATTTTGGTGAACCACACAGTTAAATACTATCCTTCTGTGTATTTCTAAAAACATCTCGTTTTTCTGTACCTTTCAATTCACAACAAACTTAATAGTTATCTTCCCCGCCATCAATGTCTAAATAAGTCCATCCCAATAGTCTCAGAGTGGGGTCGATAAACTATTCTAAAGCCCGATTTGTGATCTTCTTTTGCCAAGTATCTAGAACCACGGCCTAGTAGCACCACTGCCTTGTATTTAGGTTTAGATCATGATCGTGCTGTCTGAACATACTACCAATCTATAGGTGAGAAACAATGAAGAGTTACTACCTCCTACCCTTGAGGCTGCCACTCTGGTTTGGATTACTGTGGTGAATTCTAAGTAAATACAATATAGGGCAGGACAATAACTTAGAAAAGCAGAATTTTACAGCTAAAAAAAAAAAAATCACAAGGCCAGTGACAATCTATCCCCAGAAATGGAATAGGAAAACGCTTCTGAAGTCATTTGGGTGAATGAGAGGAAGGAAGGAAAGTGTCAAAAAGCCCACTCTTCAGTCTCTAAGATTGCCAAATGTATGCTAGTCAGCCAGGTATCCCGACTTTCATCACTGCAGACGTCTGCAGAGAACCCTGCAGGAGACAGATTCTTCTGGCTGTGTTCATGATAACAAGTATTAGAAGCCAAGACTTCAGTAACTCCCACCTTATTTTATGCTATTAATATATACCAGCTTAAAAAAAATAGATATCGTCTTTATTTCCACTACTTTCCTCCACTAGCTTTAGTCACAACAGATGCTGCCAGTAAAAACTCCCAACCCAGTATCCATCCTCTCCAACATCTTCCTAATCATTCAAGGTGGCAATGTACAAAGCTTCAGACGAATTATAGCTTGGTTATAGAATTTTTGGTTGACAGTGATTTCTTCTCAGCTCTTTGAAAATGTCTAATTCTTCTAGTCTCTCCTGGGAGCTTCTAAACTGCCAATCTAAAAAAAAAAAAAAAATCAGTCCTCTTGAAGTAATGTAGTTTCTCCCTGGTTTGCTTCTTTTTTTTTTTTGGAGCAGGCAGAACTTGAAGAGAGGTCTTTGGTGTTCTGCATTTTTACCAACAACGCATTTAGGCCTAGATTTATTGTAGCTGACCCACTCAGGATTTACAATGCTGAGGATTAATGTAATTCTGGAAAATTCTTAGTCACTATCTCTCGAATATTGTCTCTTCCTCACTTTTCATATTCTCTGTTTCTGGAACTTTGATTAAACATGTAGACCTTTTCATTTAGTTCTCCATGTCTGTAACTCTTCCATATTTTTTAATTCACACCAAATCTATTGGAGTTTGCTAATTCTTTCTTAAGCAGTGACTAGTCTATGTTTTAATCCACACATTATGTTTTCAATTTCATTTCATTTTTTTGTTTTTGAGACAGAGTCTCACTCTGTCGCCCAGGCTGGAATGCAGTGGTGCGATCTTGGCTCACTGCAACCTCCGCCTCCTGGGTTCAAGCGATTCTCATGCCTTAGCCTCCCAGGTAGCTGGGATTACAGGCATGTACCACCATGCCTGGCTAATTTTTTTTCATATTTTTAGTAGAGATTGGGTTTCACCATGTTGCTCTCGAATTCCAGACCTCAGGTCGTCTGCCCACCTCAGACGCCCAAAGTGCTAGGAATATAGGCATGAGCCACTGAGCATGGCCCAATTTCATTTCTTATTTCTATAAATTCCATTTGGTTCTTTATCATACCAATAGTTTTTCAACATTAAGTAGAACATTAGTCTTTTATTTAAGCAGCTTTGTTGAGGTATAACTGACTTATAATAAACTACATATGTTTCGTGTTTATAATTTGACAAGTTGTGACTATGTATACTAAAACTACCACTACATTCAAAACAATGAATATATTCATCACCCCAAAAGTACTTTGTGCCCTTTTGTAATCCTCACATCTCGCTCTTCCTCACCCTGCCCAATCCACAGGCAACCACTCATCTGTTTCCTGTCATTATAGATTAGTTTGTAGTTTCTAGAGCTTTATATAAATATAAAACTGACCCTCAAACAAAACACAGCTTTGAACTGCACAGGCCCACTTATATAGGAATCTTTTTTCAAGAAAAATTACATCAAGTGTGCCTGTGTCTCCTGCCTCCCCTTCCACTTGCGCTACTCCTGAGACAGCAAGACCAAACTCTTTTTTTCCTCCTCCCTCCTCAGCCTAGCCAACATAAACACAACAAGCATAAAGACCTTTGGCCAGGCAGGGTGGCTCACACCTGTAATCCCAGCATTGTGGAAGGCCAAACCAGGAGGAATGCTTGAGCCTAGAAGTTTAAGACCAACCTAGGCAACACAGCGAGACCCATCTCTACAAAACTAAAAATAAAAGGTTAGCTGGGTGTGGTGGGGCTCGCCTGTAGTCTCAGCTATTCAGGAGGCTGAGGTGGGAGGATCACTTGTGCCCAGGAGTTCCAAGTTGCACTGAGCTATGATCTTGCCATTGCACTCCAGCCTGGGTGACAGAGCAAGACCCTGTCTCAAAAAAAAAAAAAAAAAAAGACCTTTATTGATCCACATCTGCTTAATAAATAGTAAATATATTTTCTCTTCTTAATGATTTTCTTTCTTTCTTTTTTTTTTTGAGACAGAGTTTCACTCTTGTTACCCAGGCTGGAGTGCAATGGTGCGATCTTGGCTCACCACAACCTCCGTCTCCCAGGTTCAAGCAATTCTCCTGCCTCAGCCTCCCAAGTAGTTGGGATTACAGGCATGTGCCACCAGGCCTGGCTAATTTTGTATTTTTAGTAGAGACGGGGTTTCTGCATGTTGGTCAGGCTGGTCTCGAACTCCCAACCTCAAGTGATCCGCCCACCTTGGCCTCCCAAAGTGCTGGGATTATAGGCATGAGCCACCACGCCCGGCCTATGACTTTCTTAATATTACATTTTCTCTTCCCTAACTTACTTTATTGTAAGAATACAGTATTTAATACATATAACATACAAAATATGTGTTAACTGACTGTTCATGTTACCAATAAGGCTTCCAGTTTCCAGTCAAAAGCTGGTTATTAGTAGTTAACTTTTTGGGGAGTCAAAAGTTTTACATGGATTTTTGGCTGCAGAGGTTGACACCCCTAACCCCCACATTGTTTGGGGGTAAACTGTAGAAGCATATTTTTTCTTCTGGCTTCCTTCTCCTAGCACAATTATTTTGAGAGAACGAGACTCCATCTCAAAAAAAAAAAAAAAAAAAAAGACACACAAATGTTCTTAGCAGCATTATTTGTAGCTGCCCCAAATTGGAAACAACCCAAATCCCATTAACTGCTGATTGGGTAAACAAATACTACATATTTAAGAAAAATTTGTATATAAATGGCCGGGCGTGGTGGCTCATCCATGTAATCCCAGCACTTGGGAGGTCGAGGCGGTGGATCACTTGAGGTCAGGAGTTCAAGACCAGCCTGGCCAACAGGGTGAAACCTCATCTCTACTAAAAATACAAAAATTAACCAGGTGTGGTGGCGCATGCCTTTAATCCCAGCTACCTGGGAGGCAGAGACAGGAGAATCACCTGAACCCAAGAGGTGGAAGATGCAGTGAGTTGAGATCAGCCATTTATGTACAAATTTTTCTATAAACACCGTGAATCCTGGGTCTGTCTTAACCTGGGTTTACAACTAGATTTTAAACTACCACTGACATTAGGAATTGCCAGCCACGCAATTAACAAAGACGTAGCCCCAGGGCTGTAACAACTATGGGGCACCAGGCAGAAGCTCTTACAGAATTGCTCAGGTGGGTTATATATTCAACCCAGGCCATACAAGATTTCCTCAGATAAAGCCCTGTTGAAGGTGAACTCACATTTTGGTATCACAGAATACATGAGGAAGACACTTGCTCATGAGTGAGAAGCAGCAGACATAGGAAACCCTAGGATTAGTTCTCTAAGAATCACACATAATAGAATCATTAAATAGAAACTTTACATAGTATGATTAGAGTTTTTAAAGCAAAAGAAAAAAAAACAGTGTCAAAGAATAAGGCTATTAAAAAAGACTAGGTGGGAACTTCCTCTTCTAGTCAAGATGGAATAACACAACATGGATTTATCTTCCCACCTGAAACAATTAAAAACACAGAAAAAATGTATGAAACAATGGTACGGAAGAAATTGGACATCGATCAACAAAAGTCAGTGATCCCCAAGAGACAGGAAATAAATGAGGCAAGTCCTATGATTGCCCCACCTTAATACATGAAGAAAAAATTTTTTGGAAAGTAATGTTTCTGAAAATATTCTGAAAAATATTTAATGTACACTTAACATGTGATCCAGCCATTCCACTACTAAGTATTTACCCAAAAGAAATTAAACCAGAATTTCTCTACTCAGAGGTCTGGCTGAATGGGACCCAAGCTTCCTTGACATCTGTCTGCGCCAATGGGTGGATTTTTTTCCCCCAAGAGGGTATATCCCTTCAAGGGTCCCAGTTGCATGCGGAGGTCTCTGTCCAATACCCCATCTTGCACAGTCCAACATAGAAACCTAAGCTTCTGCCTCAACATAAGCAATAAAACCAAAACCCTTGGCATATCCTTCTCAGCCCTTCTGAGCTGCTGCAGTGTCGGCTCCTGTTAACTATTTTTATTTTCCTCTTCATTTTTGGCTCTTGGAATTTCCCTGACTTTCACATGAACTTAGGTTACTGGGTGATGCTATTAATCAAGACATTATACTCAAAATACTAAGCAAGCATGAATAGAATCAGAAGGCAATAAAATGGAAAAGGTGTCAGACTTTAGAATGTAAGTGTGGTCCTAATTGGCAAAAATTAAAAATTCCCTTCAACACATCCTAACATACTCCTCTTCAGTTACTTACCTGCTGATTTCCAACCCATTGTATTTTTTCCAACTGGAGTCTTATACTGGAATCACCAGTACAGTGATTATACTGGAATCACCGGTACAGACCGGAGGCTTTCAAATAATAACCCCTGGGAAGAAAGCTGACTAGCTCTTACCCAAGGATGAAAGGGTTTAGATAGAAATCTGAGGCTTTAAAAAGTTGGAAAATCCCTTTTCTGTAAGATAGACCAAACATTTTTAAAGTATAAAATAATTTAATTATTATAATTTTTTTTTGAGATGGAGCTTCCCTCTTGTTGCCCAGGCTAGAGTTCGATGGTGTGGTCTCAGCTCACTGCAACCTCCACCTCCTGGGTTCAAGTGATTCTCTTGCCTCAGCTTCCCAAGTAGCTGGGATTACGGGCACCAGCCATCACGCCTGGCTAATTTTTGTATTTTTAGTACAGACGGGGTTTCATCGTATTGGCCAGGCTGGTCTCAAACTCCTGACCTCAGGTTATCCGCCCACCTCCACCTCCCAAAGTGCTGGGATTAAAGGCGTGAGCCACCGTACCTGGCCCAATAATTTAATTTTTTTTTAAAAGAAATGACTCTACTATGAAGGAATACCTCTTTTTCTTATTTATTTTTTATTTTATTTTATTTCTTAGAGATAGGTTCTCACTCTGTTGCTCAGGCTAGAGTGCAGTGGCATGATCTTAGCTCTCTGAAACCTGTAACTCCTGAGCTCAAAGGATCCTCCACCTTGGCCTCCCAAGTATCTAGGGCTACAGGTGCCCACCATGCCCGGCTAATTCTTAAAATTTTTTGTAGAGATGAGGTCTTGCTTTGTTGCCCAGGCTGGTCTCAAATTCCTGGCCTCAAGCAATCTTCTTGCCTCGGCCTCCTAAAGTGCTGGGATTACAGGCATGAATCTCCGTGCCTGGCCAAGAAATACCTCGTATTTCCATTTTGTGGCTTCAATATTTTTCTTACATAAGTTTTAACTGCTGTAGGGAAGAACTACGTAGAATAAAAACGATCTCTAGATTTTACATCAAGACTTGACTGTGTGCCCTAAATGAAGTAACCCACCTACCTTTTTTCCTCTTGGGCTGTTCTGGTGATGAGGCTCCCGGTGAGTCTGCGTATTTTTCTTGCACCTGCTGTGTTTCCATCACTTCAGGAATCCCATCTAATGTGACGGATACATGGGTGACTGGGGCAACAACCATGTCATCTTCAGGTGAACTGAATATATTATTATCTAATGAAAATAAAATCAACTAATTATAGTCCACTGTGTATTATAAGTAAAAAACGATTGACAAAATTTCTTGTTTTTATGATGACTAGAAGATTAAAGTAGAAATAAAATCTTGAAATCTATTCCTGCTTTTAATTTCTTCTTCCCTAAATCAAATACCCTAAACCAGTCCAGGCGCAGCTGAGCTATTTCAATGTCTTTCTTACTTGACTTCCTATCACCAGTGTGTCTCGTTTCTCCTCTTGATTATTCACATTGCTGTGAGAGTTATTTTCTGAAACATAAGTCTGACCTGACCATACTCCTCTACACAAAAACTTTATACCTGGAAAATTAGGGGAAAAAAAAAAACCTGACATATCTTTCCATAGTTCATAGGAAAAACAAAAAACAACATAAGCACAACCCATCTCTACAGCATGCCTTACAAAACTTCTGTAATCTAGTTCCAAACCTACCTTTCCAATCTCATTTCCCACCCACCATGAAGCTTACACTTCAACCACACCAACTCAAAGATTTCATTCATTTTCTTTAACAGATCTGTGTCCTGTATGTTTACCTCTATTCCCTCCAGCTTGAATGACCATTCTTGTCTCTTCTACCTATTAAAAGCTTATTGTTTACAGCCCACGTCAGAATACTCCTTTAATGAAGCCAGTCTCTGATATTCTCAGCTAGAATACTCACTGCTTCTAGAGCAATTTGCTATCACTCATGGCCTTTATTCTTGGCTTTGTAGTTATTTCCATAAGTAACTGTCTTCAAAATTAAACTGTAAGCTTGAGGAAAGGAACAATATCTACTCATTTGTAGCTCATGTTATTGCCTAATTATTGCTGCTGTGAATATAGTAAATATTCAATAAATATTTTGGAATGATTTAGTAATAATTCACTTTATGAATTTGATTGTCAGAAAAGCCCAAAGGAGAATATGAAATTTAAAGCAGATCAATAATGTGGCAGTGAATTTTATGTCATGATGTGTTAGTAAAATTTTCAATAGCTTATTGCCTATTTGCTGATAAATAACTACAGAGATGACTAAATTATAATCATTTGGGCCCTTGATACCCAAATACTCTGATCAATACGTTAGGAGAAGAAATTCTGCATGATCTTCTATTTGGTAACTAATAAATTATATATTTTTTATTCCCAAAGGCTTCATTCTCAAATTAAAATGTCGCCTTTAACTCTACATTTTTGCAAAGGCATCCCAATTCCTACTATACCTTAAAATGTGATTGTAACAAAAAATATATAACATCATTTCTAATCTCTTGATTTTACTATCTAATAGAGAAAGATGGCAGGAGTGACTTAACGAAGTACATAAACATGAACAATCGTAACCATAACCACTCACTTATTCGTTTTTCATCCAGCATAGGGCCAGGAGAATCCATATTGAGGAGTGCCTCAGCAGCCTCAATAGTTTCAATTGTTTCATCCCCGTCATGACAAGAAGCTTCAACTGCAACACATTTAAAGAGAAAATTAAATTAGCCACAAGACATCTGTTACTCTGAACGTCATACACTGCTTATCTCTAGAACCAGAATACATCATTTAATATTTTAGTTTATATACATATAAACTATAAACACATAAAATTATACTAAACCTGGCCAGGGACAGTGACTCATTCCTGTAATCCTGCACTCTGGGAGGCCAAGGCAAGCAGATTGCTTGAGGTCAGGAGTCTGAGACTGGCCAACATGGAGAAACCCCGTTTCTATTAAAAATACAAAAAAATCAGCTGGGTGTGGTGGCATGCACCTGTAGTCCCAACTACTCAGGAGACTGAGACAGGAGAACTGCTTGAACCCAGAAGGTGGAGGTTGCAGTGAGCCGAGACTGAACCACTGCACTCCAGCCTGGGTGACAGAGCGAGACTCTGTTTCAAAAAAAAAAAAAAAAAAAAATTAAAAAATCAATAGTTCCTTAATATTAAATAGCCAACCAGCATTCAAAAGTCCAATTGTGTTAAAAAATCATAAATGGTGGCGGCGCAAGGAAAGACAAGACAGTTTTTTTTTTAAATCAAATTAAGTCTGCATATCGCAATTGACTGATACATTTCTGAGTTGCCATTCATCTGTCTAGCTTTTTTTACTTTGTAATTTATTTGTTGAAGAAATCAGGCTGTTTATTCATGTAGAATTTCCCAGTTTGGACTTTGCCAACTATATTCCTATTGTGTAGCTTAACATGTTTTTCTATACCCCCTCTAACTGAGTAGTCATATATGGAGGCTTGATGAAATTCAAGTTTAATTTTTTCTGGCAAGACTAAGAAACAATTTATGTATTTTGATGACAGCTCAAAATATAATCTAAGCCTCAAATTTCATAAAATCATTACATCCTTTTGGTTTTGCTTTTTTTTTTGAGACAAGGTCTTACCCTGTCTCCCAGGCCAGAGTGCAGTGGCTCAATTATAGCTCACTGCAACCATAAACTCCTAGGCTCAAGTAATCCTAGCACCTCAGCCTCCTGAGTAGCCAGGACTACAGGCTCAGGCCACCATGCCCAGCTAATTTTTAAAATTTTTTGTAGAGACAGGGTCCCGCTATATTGCTCACACTGGCCTTGAATTCCTGGGCTCAAGTGATCCTCCCTCCTCGGCCTCCCAAAGTTCTGGGATTATAGGTGTGAGCCACTGCATCTGGTCAAATTTTTTATTATGAAAATGTTAAACAAAATAAAAAAATTGTGAGTATAGTATATACAATGAATCCCCATGTGCCCATTCCCAGCTTCAACTATTATCACCAAATAGCCAATCTTCTTTCAACCATACCCCACTCACTGCCCCCGAGTCCTTACCCTCTGTACAGGATTATTTTGAAGGAATCTAAGATACCATATTTTATCTCTAAATACCTCAGCATGTGTATCTAAAAGATGTCTAACACAATACTACTATCATATCTTAAATATACTAACAATGATTTTTTTTTTTTTTTTTTTTTTTGAGACAAAGTTTCGCTCTTGTTGCCCAGGCTGGAGTGCAATGGCGTGATCTTGGCTAACCGCAACGTCTGCCTTCCAGATTCAAGAGATTCTCTTGCCTCAGCCTCCGGAGTAGCTGGGATTACAGGCATGCGCCACCATGCCCGGCTAATTCTATATTTTCAGTAGAGACGGGATTTCTCCATGTTGGCCAGGCGGGTCTCGAACTCTCAACCTCAGGTGATCCACCCGCCTCGGCCTCTCAAAGTGCTGGGATTACAGGTGTCAGCCACCCAGCCCACAGTAATTCTTTAATATCATCTATTACTGGCTGAATGGTATCCCCCAAAATTCTATGTTGACATGCTAACCCACAGTACCTCAGAATGTCTTTAAAGAGATAACTGAGTTAAAATGAGGTTATTAGTGTAGGCCCTAATCCAATATGGTTAGTGTCCCTCTAAGATGAAATATGAACACAGTCAGGTACAAAAGGGAAGACCATGGGAAGACACTGGAAGACAGTCACCTATAAGTCCAGAAAGAAGCCTCAGAAGGAACTAACCCTACCAATACCTTGATCTCAGACTTCTAGCTTCCAGAACCGTGAGAAAATCAATGTCTCATTTGAGCCACCAGTCTGTGGTACTTTCTTATGGCAGTCCTAGCAAACTAACACATCATCTGAAGTGCCACCTAACACATGTAAGAACAAAAATGTCCTATCCTTATTCTTTCTTCCCCTAGAGCTTCTCAAAGGCTACCCGTCATACCCATTGTGGAATAAGGAAGATTACGAGGTTCTTCCCTTTTTTATGACATTGCTCAGAAAAGGATGGAAGAGTTAAAAAGTTTTGGTAAGTTGGGAGGTAAGGGAAAGGGAAGAAAAAACGCAAAGAGAGAATCTGGTTTTCAAGATCTGGCTTGCCTTCTAGACCCATTCCACATCAGTTCTATTTTCTAGGAAAGAACCTGTCTACATCTTGTCATCTGCTGTCTTCAGGTCTAAATGCAAGGGAGTGACGCACTGAAGGGAAAAGGCAATTCCTTCTCCTAAAGATCTAATACCTGCTTTTCTAGATTCAATGTCCTCTCTGAGGGCTAATGCCTTCCCTGATGACTAGAACTAGGAAGAAATACTCCTTCCAGAAAGACAGTGGTCCTCAACTTGCAAAGACTGTAGCCTTACCCTAAGGCTTTAAAAGTTACATCAGAATACACTGCTACACCCCCACTAACTACAAGCCAGATACATGCATAGTGGTGTTTCTTCTGTTACACAAAAAGATCAGAGAGCAATGAACAGAAACTTCTAACCTCATTAGTCTAATTCCCTTACTGGTAAAGGAGAAGTAACTCTAGATTCAACAAAAAACTTTTATTGGTTTGTTCTGAACAAAAAATGTGAATATATGCAAAAAATGCTTTGTAAAAAAAAGAGAGTGATATGGTTTGGATTTGTCCTTGCCCAAATCTCATGTTGAATTTTAAACCCCAATGTTGGAGGAGGAGCCTGGTGGGAGGTGACTGGATCGTGGGGGTGGATTTTCCACTTGCTGTTCTCATGATGGTGAATGAATTCTCATAAGATCTGGTGGTTTGAAAGTGGGTAGTACCCGCTACCACCCTGCTTTCTGTTCCTCCTGCTCCAGCGATGTAGGATGTTTTCTGCTTCCCCTTCGCCTCCCACCATGACTGTAAGCTTCCTGAGGTCTCCCCAGCCATGCTTCCTGTACAGCCTGCACAACCATGAGCCAATTAAATCTCTTTTCTTTATACGTATTACCCAGTCTCAGGTAGTTCTTTATAGCAGTGTGAGAAGTGACACAAACAGAGGACAATACAAAGATGAGGTATTGACAACCAGTGTTATCAGTGGGGCCTCTCCCCCACCAGATGGATACAGTCATTCTACCTTTCCCCTGATTTAAAATGTTACTGTATCATATGTTAACTTCCTAAATAGATCAGAACTTGCATTTAGACTTACTATTCAGTTCTAAGGCATTGTGCTATATGCTAAGGTAAAGCTGAGAACAAGGCAGCCCACGTACTTGCCACTATGAAATCTACAGATATACCTTATCAAGCCTATTTCTGATAAACTTTCTTTTACAAATAAAGATGCAAATATTTGCTTCCAAATAGTTTTCTCAAATATCCACAACATCCCTGGCCAAGATATAGGAATGTAAATGAATAGAAAGAGAAAGCATGTACCAGTTTCTAAGTGATGAAAGTATTATTACTACAATCTCACATTTATGTAGCCTAATCTTCAAGTTTAAAATATCTTACTAGTTCGGACTGAACCAGAAAAGAAATCTATAAATACCAGGACCTTATCATACATTTGGGTCATGGCCCACCATTATGCTTCCTGTGGCAGTGGTAAGAAAAGAACATTCCTCTCTCTTTCCCTACAAAACAACTCATTTTATTCACAGGAATATGGAGGAAGGCATATAAGAAAGTACTCAGTGAGCTGGGTGGGGTGGTGCATGACTGTTGTCCCAGTTATTCAGGAGGCTGAGGCAGGAGGATCACTTGAGCCCAGGAGTCCAAGTCTAGGCTGGGCAATATAGTAAGACTCCATCTCTTTAAAAAAAAAAAAAAAAAAAAAAAGGTGCTCAGTGAAGACTTGATGAATTGTGTAGGTTTGGTTCCTTTTACATGCCTCTTATTTTGTCACATTCATCTCAATATATTTAGGAAAGGAGAAATGGGAGATGAGAAACAGTGCTAAAACCAGCAGATGAAACAGAAAACGTAAATTTCTTCTCCATGTAGGGCTCTAGCTTCTGAAGGTACTACAGTTCAAAACCAAGTTAGGAGCGTTTTATGCCCCACAAAGTCAGGATGAGGACACTGCCTAACGCTGTGCTGCAGCAAGGTCCTACTGGCTGGAGACACACGCACCTGTAAGGGTGATGTCATCATCATCGTCGTCTATGATTTCTTCTTCAGCAACATCCAGTGAACTCTCAGTAATCATGTCATTGGGCTCTTCCACACAGGCTAGACCGGCATAACTATTGAGAATATCAGCACCAGGAACATGTTCCACAATTACAGCAGGAAAAATAGCTGGATCGCCAAGCTGAGGGGTTAGGAAGAGGTAAATGAAAACAAAGGGTTAACACAGTTTTGCTTTTGTTAAATACTGCTCAAAACCATTTTATACTAGCCATCAATTTAATTTTTAGATTATTAGGCTGTATCTCTACAATCCTTCTAGGCATTAGGAAATTTCTGTCTATTAAAACCAAATAATGGCATTAAAATTTAAAAATGAAAGCCAGGCGCAGTGACTCACGCCTGTAATCCCAGCACTCTGGGAGGCCGAGGTGGGCAGATGGCGAGGTCAGGAGATCAAGACCATCCTGGCTAACATGGTGAAACCCCGTCTCTACTAAAAATACAAAAATTAGCTGGGCCATGGTGGCACACGCCTATAATCCCAGCTACTAGGGAGGCTGAGGCAGGAGAATCACTTGAACCTGGGAGGTGGAGGCTGCAGTGAGCCGAGATTGTGCCACTGCACTCCAGCCTGGGTAACAGAGTGAGACTCCATCTCAAAAATAATAATAATAATAATAATAATACCATTAATGGATATGCATGGACCAAGAAGTGACATAAAAATAAAATGTTAATTAAATAAAATCTCCTGGGTTCAAGCTATCTTCTCAAATGTAAGAAAAAGTTCCTGCTCATAGATAATATAATGCCAGGCACCTTACTATTTTCCTTAAGTAAGTCTGTTATATTCAAAATATTATTTATGATTTCATTACAACTAAGCCTCCATCTTTTAAAATTAATGTTTATTGAACTACCCACTGAGGTTAGACATTACTTCTGTCATAAGAATTTAATTACCCAAATTAAATATATATCATAGGTGCTAAACAGATAATATCCTTGCCTTCGACAATGCTATGTTCTGAAATTTATGGTTAATAATCCTGAAACACATTTGGATCGTTTTATTTCAAAATATTTCTTCCTGTTTCAGAAAAGAGGAAGCTAGCTAGAAAAGTAACTGGCTCTTCAAACAGTAAAACAAATTTTAAAACAGAAACTAGAAGGCTCAAAAATTATACTATAGAAGCCAGGCACGGTGGCATGTGCCTGTAGTCCCAGCTACCTAGAAGGCTGAAACAGGAGGATGGCTTGAGCCCAGGAGTTCAAGGCTATACTGTGCTACAATCACATCTGTGAATAGCTACTGCACTTCAGCCTGGGCAACATGGCAAAACCCTGTCACAAAAAAAAAAAAAAAAAAAAATGAAAGCAAAAATTCCTAATGAAACGCAAAAAAATAAGTTAAAAACGCATTTTTAAGAAACTACATAATGTCCAAAGCAAAGTGTAGCTAGCCTTCCCTTTTCCTTTTTTGACAGGTAAACTGTAGACATGCAATCCCACCTAGCATGAACATGCATTTGTCTTTACATATATGTATTGCCGCTTATTCTTTCTCTCATCCTATGTCTTTAGTGTACTCTAGTGCATGTGGTTATATTTCTATTTTCCGTTCTTTAACTTTTTTTGATGCTCCAATAAGTTCTCCGGTTCTCTCAAGAGTCCAGTTGTTAAGCACTTTATGCTGCCTCTATAAACGTACAAGGTAGCGACTATAAGTCATCACTCTTATCTGATAAGTCATGAGACAGGCGGTTTATTAATGCAATTTCATATAAAATATAATATGGTGTCTTATGTTTCTTCATCCCATATATGATTCTTAATAGTATTCCTTCTTGCCTATCCAAATTATTTGGGGCTCCTGCAGCTGTGGGTTAGAGTGTGGCTAATGTGTACATGGAAACCAAGGATACTCCTCAAAATTTTGAATCTACTACCAGTTCTTGGAGTTGTCAGGTTAACCACATCATGACTTGTTACTACTTTATTCCTTTGTCCAGTTTCTAACTAACCGTGGTCGGTAATACTGTATTCGTCCAGAATTCTCCATTAGTAACTCAATGTTCACGCTTCTTACCACAGGTGCCCTTCCCAGAGGCAATCACGCTTTACCATTTCGTTTGTTCCATAACAGACAGTAGCTAATGTAGAGTCAGGCATACGCTAAAATTGCTTGTAAACCAATCAGTAAATTCAGTTTAAAGTAATAATTGTTTAAAGTTTGTTAAATAAGGAAATAACTTAGCTCAAATTGAATCACACCGCAAGATTCGCGTCCAAGAGGACTGGGAAAAACAAAAAAAATAGGATATCATATATTCTTGAAGCAAAAAAGTTTTATTAAGAATTCGGTGTGAAGTAACAAAGGTCTTTGGGATATTAAGAATGAGAAGAAAAAGAGTTTGTGCAAGGACCGAAAGCGTTGTCGTGGCTCATTGCCTGCAAATCCCCAGCATTTTGGAGGCCAAGGCTCGGCGCGGACTCACTTTGACGGTCAGGAGTTCGAGGGACCAGCCTGGTCAAGCACAGTGAAAACCTTGCTCTTACTAAAAAAATTTACACAAAAGATTTAGCCAGGCATAGAGGTGACCAGGCAGCCTGCACAATCCCAACTTATAGTGAGAAGTGAACGTGGCGCAGACTAACAGGGACAATAGGTCTACTCAAAGAAAACCCTGAGAAGAAACAACCACCAAA